GTTAAAGAGCCAGTGAGCGCAGGTGTAGAGGTCGCGTCAGGCAGTAAAGCCAGGTCAGATCATGGGGGGTAGGATGTCGTCCTGAACACTCAGCAGCCAGTAGATGTGTGGTGTCCAGCAAGACGCCTCGGTCGGAAGGATTTACTCCCTGTATGAGGAACTCCCAGCACATTTTGGTTTCTCCTTTTTGCTTTGAGTTCTTTTCTCTTGATTTCCATGCATTGTCTCATGAGTCACTGGCAGGGAAGGCTTTTGTGTCTTTTTCTCTTGCATTTTGTGAATCTAATGATGCACTTATGTTGCCCCACTTTTCCCTTTTCTTCATACCTTACCTACTAAAGGAGGGAATACCACTTTATTGGTAAGTGGATGTTAACCAGAAGGGAGTTAAACAAGAGTAACCATAAAAACATTAAAACAAAGCCAATGGGTCGCTGTTCACATCTCAGCAAATGTTCTCAGGAATAAATCCACAAAGAGAAAATTGAGTAGCTGTCAGTTTGTTTTCTGATTCAACTGATTCAATAATCGTGATCTTTATTTTGTTCCTTCCATTTCTGTGATGTTTTGTCAAGTTGTCTTTTCTTCCTGTTTTATTTCATTTTTGTTAGCCATTACTTTAAAAAACTGAAGAAGTCCTCTTTTCTACTCTACAAAATCTGTAGCTCTGTTTTTTCTGCCTTTGCTCTTAAACTTATTTGATTCAGTTTTGTTTATTTTTCCTTCTTTTCCTGCTCTTCCTAGTTCTTCGTTTGTTTTTGCAATTATGATTTCTTCTACTCATTATGGTTTTGCATGCCAAGTATTGCATGCGCTGCACCATAGAGGACTATCTATAAGCCATTTGAAGAAACCTTAGACCTTTTTCTTTTAGATGTTTACCTTCTTTTGGCAAAAAAAACTTAACTTTTAATTATCAACCAAGTGAAAACGCTCTAATGCTGTTTTTGTCTATTTTTCTTTTCCTTTTTGTTTTGTTTTTATTTCCATTGTTGGTCATAATTTGTCTGCAGAAGCTGCATCTGCTGAATGCTAGCTCTGCAGGGGTCCAGTCCACGGTGCTGAGAGGCCACAAGCTCCACAGCGCCCCCAGCAGGAACCAAACAGGACTGATGTGCTCAGCTGGAGAGGCTGGGAGCGTGGATGGCAAGGTGACAGCTGTAGGGAGCTCCCTAGCTCAGAGGAGAGGAAGCCAAAGAGGTCAGAGGAGGAGCTCCCGCTCCCCGGCCCACAGCAGCGACTCGACCCACTCCCAGCAGAACCACGCTCAGAGAGGGAGGACCTCTCGTCACCAGAAAAAGTACAGCTTCCACTTATCTCACCACAGACAGCTTTTATATTATTAATCATTATAAAATGTGCCACGTTACACTTCCTGTTACCGCAGGTCAAAGGGTGGCCACGCATCCAAACGCCACCGCCGCTCAAGCCGGGGTCAGGCGCATCACAGGAGCACCTCGGGTACTCCAGGACGCCATTCATACACATCAGGAAGAAAGAACAAAGAGTCCCGGAGCAAAGCCCACCTCCGCCAGCGCAGCAGCTCCTGTAGCAGCGGCCGCTCGTCCTCACGCTCGGCCTCCAGAGACAAAGGCCTCAGCAAGGTCAAATCCCCCCACAGCAGACAGAACATGTCCAGGTGAGGCGTCTCGATTATCCTCCACCCTCGTTCATTCTGCTGACATGTGACGGTGGTTTGTGGGTCACACAGAGAGAGGGACAGCGCTAACCGCTCGGACACTGACAGCCGAGCACGCCGCCGCTCACGCAGCTACTCACCCATACGAAAGAGAAGAAGAGACTCACCCAGCTTCATGGAGGCTCGAAGGATCACCAGGTACTTTACTTTGACCCTCCAGAATCAGAATACAGCTGCAGTTTTCCTGCTAGTGTATTTTCCAAGTCAAGTTCAAGTCGACTTTGCCGTTTCTACCACATGTGGTACATGAGGTGGAACGAAATTATGTTCACGGGGATCCAAGTTACATCCAACAATAGCAAAAATATAAAGTATGAAAAGAAACAGTAAATAAGGATCTAAGATAAACGCTGAACAAGCGCCAAACGGTACGCTAAAAGAGTTCAAATATACATTAAACACCATCCATCCATCCATTATCTTTACCCGTTTATTCCATTTTGGGTCACGGGGGTCGCCGGTGCCCATGTCCAGCAATCACTGTGCGAGGGGCGGGGGACACCCTGGACGGGTCACAAGTCCATCACAGGGACACATAGAGACAAACGAGACAAACAAACATTCACTCTCTCACTCACACCTAGGGACAATTTAGAGTTACCAATCAGCCTAACATGCATGTTTTTGGTCTGTGGGAGGAAACCGGAGTACCCGGAGAAAACCCATGCATGCACGGAGAGAACATGCAAACTCCACCCAGAAAGGCCCCTGGACCGGGGTTTGAACCAAGGACCTGCTCGCTGAGAGGCAGCAGCTCTACCAGTTGCGCCACCGTGCTGCCTACATTAAACACTAATAATGTAAAACAATACGGCATAACAACAGCAGCCCAAGGTGAGCGCAGATAGGTATGAATGAATGCAGCAGCATGAGATAATCAGCAGCATGAGATCAGCAGCAAGGATAATCAGCAGTATAAATAAGTCACATATCATCAATTAAAGTTCCTTACAGTGATTATTCTGGTTAGAGATTCATGAGTCTAACAGCCTCAGGGTAGAAGTTGTTCCTCAGTCTAGTGGTTCTACACTTAATGCTCCTCAACCTCCTTCCTAAGAGGAGCGGGGCAAAAAGTGTGTTTGCTGGGTGAGTGGGGTCCTTCATGATGCAGGTGGCCCTCTTCCTGCATCTGGAGGTGTAGATGTATGTGATGGTGGGGAGGCTGACTCCAACATCTTCTGTGCAGCCTTCACCACTCTCTGCAAAGCTTTTCTTTCTGCAGCTGTGCAGCCTCCATGCCACACATTGATGCTGGAGCACAGGATGCTCTCCACTGCACACCTGTAGAAGGAGGTGAGGACTGAGCTTCCCAGACCAGCTCGCCTCAGCCGTCTGAGGAAGTAGAGTCTCTGATGAGCTTTCTTCATCAGACTGGTGGTGTTGTTGCTCCAGCTGAGGTTGTCATTCAGGTGCACACCCAAGTACTTGTAGCTGGAGACCACTTCCACCACAGATCCTCCCCTTTTTGTGGGGGACGTGGTGGGAGTATTTGTTCCATCTGAAATCCATGATCATCTCCTTCGTCTTCTTCACATTGATGTGAAGATTGTTCTTCTTGCACCAGCTCTCCAGATGTTCCACCTCCTGCCTGTAGCTGGACTCAAGGTGTGTTTGTGATGCATCCCACCACCGCTGTATCCAGCTGTGTGTTGGTTTTGATGTCCTTTTTATCTACCGATAAAATTCCACAACACAAATTTTGAAGAACAAGAGACCCGAGGTTTTTACTCTTTGGAACCATCAACTACTTTTCTTGAAGATCTTTATTTCTAATTATCAGTAAAATAATAAGTAATGATTTTATCCTGTGTTACGAGTACACATGAGGCTTTCTCCTGACTCAAGCTTCATCAAGTTTTTTGGATTTTTTTTAATATACGTAACTATAAACTTTGAAATTGTGCTTTTTTTTTTGTTTGTTTTTTAAATTTTTATTATCAAATGTCAACAAAATTATGAGTTTAAAGAACAAAGTAAGTAAAGTGCTATTATATTGCATAAAAAGACAGTAGCAGAGTGAGGACATGTGGTCAGTTTGTCATCCATCATTCTAAGCCTATAGCAGCATAACTAAGGGATAGTTCAGGAAACCCAAGCCGACCCTAACTAGGATTTATCAAAACGGAAAGTCTTGAAACTGGACAATGTGTCAGACGTATGAACAGGTTCCACAAGAGAGGAGCCTGGTAACTGAAAGATCTTCCTCTCATTCTGCTTTTGAAAACTCTAGGGACCACAAGTAAACCTGCAGTCTGAGAGTGAAGTGCTCTGTTAGAAACATCTGGAACAATCTGTAATATAAGCTGGAGCTAGGTTGTTGAGAGCTTTGTAGGTTAGAAGTAAGATTTTGAATTTTGAGGGAGTGGTGGCGCAGAGGTTAGAAGACAGGCCTGTGATCAGAAAGTCGCGGGTTCAACTCCCGGTACTGTCAACAACAAAATGTGGGCAAGAAAAGGTGAAACACCCACACCTGCCTCCATTCTCATTTGCCCCACTCTGGGCCC